AGGGGGGCTCTGAAGGGGGACATGTGCCAGGGGGGGCTCAAGGGGGCTCTGAAGGGGACATGTGCCAGGGGGTGCTCAAGGGGAGGTGGGAGATGCACAGACATGCCCAGCACAGCTTGAGGGCCCACAAGGGGCTCTTTGCCCACCAGCACAGCTCTGTTTTCCCCAGTCAGGCATTTCCCCCTGCTGGCCAGAGGTCTGTGCAAAGCCTGGCCCATGTGCACACACCTCCAGCACAGAGATGGCCTCACACCCACCTTTCACTCTCCACAGTCATCTTGATGGCAGTGGAGACGTAGCCCCGGCCGTCCTTGCCTGTCTGCTCCTCTGCTCAGGGAGGAGAACCATCCATGAACCACCAACCCCACCACGTCCTGCCAATCATCTTTACCAGCCCTAGCTGCCCCTGCAAGCCCTGGGTGACACCCATAACCCCCTGAGAGCATTGCTGGGGTGCAGAGTGTGTGGGACACCCTGAACCTCAAGGTCATGGCAGAGGTGCAGACCACCAAGGGGCTCCTCAAGGAGCACCACTTCTTCCTGGCCCAGAAGATCTTCAATGAAGAATAGCAGGTAGGTGAAAAATTTTGTAATGTAGGGGTCTGAGGCCATATATCTTGTAGGATAGATCATGATACGACCACTGCAATGGGGAAGAAGGTAAGGGAGTAGAAGTCTGTTTTTAGGCTGATGGGGACTTTGAAGTTTATAATTAATTTTCATTCTCAGAAGGAGCTGAGAGGATGGGCCCCTGCAGCCCAGGGCCCATCCAGGCCCTCCTCACTCACTGTTGCAGTGACTCCCAAATGCCTGGTCCATAACCCCCTCACCTCAGAGCATTGCTGGGGTGCAGAGGGACACCCCAGGACTCACCCAGGCCCTCCCCACTCACTGTTGTCAAAGGCCTGGTCCATAACCCCCCTCACAGCATTGCTGGGGTGCAGAGGGGGAGCCCAGGACCCATCCAGGCTCTCCCCACTCACTCTTGTAGTGACTCCCAAACTCCTGGTCCATAACCCCCCTCACAGCACTGCAGAGGGGCACCCCAGGGCCCATGCAGGCCCTCCTCACTCACTGTTGTACACCTGGTCCATAACCCCCCTTCACAGCATTGCTGGGGTGCAGAGGGGGAGCCCAGGGCTCATCCAGGCTCTCCCCACTCACTGTTGTAGTGACTCCCAAAGGCCTGGTCCTTGGGGATGTTGGGGTACAGGTTCCGCAGCTGCCCCAGGTCCCGGATGCGGTCGCCCAGGGAGCGGATGGACAGGTCCTTGGCAGAGAAGGGCTGGATGTTTTCCACCTGGCTGGAGCCTGAGCGAGGGGAGACACGTCACTGCATTCCAGTGCTGGTTCCTGGAGCTGCCCACACCCCCTGGCAGGGAGGACCCCTCCCCTGCACAGCACCTGACCCCGTCTCACCGTCCTTGCCCCGCATGACGTAAGCGATGGTGACGCCCCCGATCTCGGAGTCGCTGAAGCGGAGCAGGAAGGTCCCATCTGGCTGCATGCTCAGCAGCTTGCACACATACTGCTTGCTGATGAAGCCCATGATGAGCCTGGAAAGGTGGAGAACAAGGATCAGGACCACCCATGGCAGTGGGGTGGGATCAGGACCCCCTCAAAGCTCAGCCCTGGGGCACCCACCTGTCTGACCAGTAACTTTTGAGGCATCTCTTGGTGAGGTCCAGGACTCCATCAAACCACTGCCAGAAGGTGAATCCTCGGCCAGGGAGGATCTCCTGAGGCAGAAAGAAGCCATGAGGCTCCCCACGGCCATGCTGGCCCCTGCCCACCCTGGCCATCCCTCCCAGTCACCTTGTTGAACTGGGCCCAGGAGACGTGGCGGCTCTGGAAGTCCTCAGGGCTGGCACTGTGGTCATTGAAGATCTTCTGGGCCAGGAAGAAGTAGTGCTCCTTGAGGAGCCCCTTGGTGGTCTGCACCTCTGCCATGAACTTCAGGTTCAGGGTGTCACACATCTTGTCCCAGGGCACCCGCTCGGCCACCACAAAGGGCACTCGGTCCTGTGGCCAGGCAGGGGGACATCAGGACAGAATGCCCACCATGTCCCACCCCTGGGCTCCTGCTCCCACCTGCACTGGTGGGAGTCCAAAGCCCAGTCAGCCCCAGCTTCCAGCTCCTTCCCTGCAGCTGGTGGCACTCACAATGTCAGAGAAGGCGTTGTCCCACAGCACGGTGGCTTTGGCGTTGTTGTCCTGGTTCCCGTGTACAATGACCACAATGGGCAGAGACAGGACCTGGGGGCACACAGTGTCCCTGAGCCAGGCGTGGTGGCTGCCCTGGGACTGTCCCAGTGTCCCACAGGGGAAGGCTCAGCACATCCAGCCCTATCCCATGGTACCTGGAGGTGGATGGAGATGTTGCCGGGGGTCAAGGTGACGTTGGTGCTGAAGAGGACGGCGCATTTCTCCTCCGTCACCGACTCTGAGCCCTTCCGCTCGCAGCGCTTGATCTTCTTCAGCAGCTGGGGAGAGAGAGCTGAGCATCCCCAGCCTCAGGACCCCCAAAAACCCAATGGAGCCCCCAGCCCAGCCCCTAGCTGGTGGCACTTACCACGTTTTTGAAGTTGGCACAGCAGTTCCCGCTGGTGGGGTTGGTCTCCAGTGCCACCGTGTTGTGCAAGATCTCCCCCGTGCTCTCACTGGGTAGAGAAGGGGGTCAGGGAGGGAATGGTGGTGGGGAAACCCCCTTCCCTCACACCCACTGCTCACCTGAGGGTGTTGCTGTAGTTGCTGAGCTCCAGCTCCCGTGCCTGCTTCTCTGTCACCATGTCAGCCCTCACCACGTAGGGCTTGGGCAGCACCTTCAGCAGCCGCGGGCCCAGCAGGAACCGCACGCTCGCCTGGAACTTGGTCTGAGTCTTCAGCACCTGTGGGGGCTGCTTCTCCACCAGGAAGGAGCTGAGGGACAAAGGGACACCGTGGCACTTGGCACAGCCACCAGACCCACCTCAATCCCTGGCCACCACTGCCTCCAGGTGTTACCTCTTGACCAGGCTGGACAGGACCTCGTTGAAGCGCTCCAGGAGCCGGGGCAGCAGCTCAGGGCCCAGCTCTGTGCTCGCTGCCATCACCTGCTGCTGCAGCTGGAAGTAAACCTCGACCAGGTTCTCACACCTGGGGAAAGGGGGACACTCAGCACCCCATCCTCACTCACCTGGTGGTGGGAGCAGGTTGCTCAGGATCCCCCAGCTTTGCTCTGTGCCCCCTCACCTCTTCTGCAGCGGTGCCAGATTCTCCTCAAAGACGGCCCCATTCCCTGCCAGCTGCTGTTGTCTCTTCCAAATCTGGATCCTCTTCAGGACCTGCTGTTTGGCCGCCTCCAGCTCCTTCACAGCCTCCAGGATGAGGGTGGGCAGCTCTCTGGGAGCCACGGGGCTCTGCACAGCCCCATCCCGCCCTGGCCCCTCCTCCTGGAGCGCCTGGATCTCCCGCACTCGGTGCTGCAGCCGCTGCAGCCCCAGGCTGAACTTCAGCTCCTCCTGCCGCCGGTGGAAGCTGAGAGGCAGGTGATGGTCCTGGGGCAGAGCAGAGAGGGGTCAGGCCGGGTTGTGGGTGGCTCTGCACCTCGGGGTGCCCGGGAGGAGGGCAGGGGGCACCCACCCGTTTGAGCACGGCTGCCTTCTCGCCCTCCAGGACGGCTCTGACGACGGCCACCAGCCGCAGAGGGTCCCGGCAGAAGGTGCTCTGGGGAGGGGGACACAAATTAGGGGTGTCAGGGGGGACACCCTTGCCCCCTCCCACCCCTTCTCCTTCCCACAACACCTGGACAAGGTAATTCAGGAGTTCTGTAACAACCACAGGGGTGATTTCCAGCTTTAAAACCGCTTTAAATGGCGCACAGAATCATGGGATATCTGGAGTTGGAGGGAACATCAGGATCATCGGCTCCAACTCTATTTTTTTTTTTGGTATAAAAAGTAGAAGAATCAACTTCAAATAGAGAAAAAAAAAAATCCAAACTGAAAGGATTCCTGTGAGCATTTCCTCCAGCATCCAGCCTGACACCTGGGGGAGACTCTCCCAGCTGCCCTGGGTGGATCAATGCTTTGCACTGAAAAAAAACAGGGAGAGGAATTCCCCTGCTGGCTCTGCCTCCCGTGTCCCTGTGCCAGCTTCTGCGGCCTTCACGCATTTCCCAAATTAGCAACTTCCCAAAACAGCAGCAGAAACGCGATGGGGGAATGGCTGATGACGTGCTTGGTGGGTTCCTGTGCCGGTGGGAGCTCCAGTGTGGGGGTCTGGATGCAGCCCCGTGGGCTTTTCCAGGGAAAATTTGGAATTCAGGGGATGAGAAGCCCAAGTTTGGCTCCCATCTGCACCCTGTGGTTGCCCATCCTGGGGGTCACCTGGTCACACCAGCACCAAGAGCAGGGAACAGCCTGGCTGGGCATGGAGAAATGAAGATTTGGTGTTCTGGGATGAGGGATGGAAGGAGGAGTGAACACAGGAGGGCTGCTCTGCGTCAGCATTTTAAATAATAAAAAATCCCTAAGCTGAAACATCTGCTTGTTTCCTACAGCAAAAAAGCAACAAAGCAACAAAGCAACAAAATCTTGTTTTGAAAAGTCACCCCGTTCCCCAGAAGTTGTGACTAAAGCTGATCCCTTCCCAAATGTTGAATATTAAAAAGGTCTGTTACCAAAAATAAGCAGAATTTTCAACCAGAATGGGGCTCTGGGAGTGAGCCCTGCTCAGCTGTGGTGCTCCGAGCTCCACTGGCCAGAGGAGATAAATCAGAGGGTTGTGAAAGAGACAGAGCAATTCCAACAGCCTTGATAAGAGAAAGAGCACCAAAAATGAAACCCTGAGCTCACGGCAGGAGGAAATGCAGACCCACAAAGCCTGGAGGAAGGAGAAATCAAACACTTGAGCAGAAAATGGGGAACATCTGCAGAGACAGCCCTCAGATGCCAACAACTGGGGGCTGAGGGGCTCGAGGGGTCCCCACAGGACCATTTCAGGGAAGATGTGGCTGCAGAACCTCAGACAGCAAAAAAAATCCCAAAACCCAATAGCTGAGTCTGTTCACTGCTCACAAGCCTGGAAATTTTTGACACAGGGACCATCCTGAGGCATTGAGCCCTTCCAGCATAAAATAACCAAGTTTTCCTGGGAGCTGGCTGCAATCCCAGCGTGGCCCAGCCCCAGGGTCCCTGCACACCTCGAGGTTGCTGACTTGCTGCAGGATCTGGCACTGCTGCCCGTCGCTGCCGGCAGCGCTGCGGAGTTTGTCCAGCATTTCTGAGAGCATCCTGCTGGCCATGCTGGTGCAGAAGGCATCTGAGCCATTGATGAACTCCCTGGAGAGGGGAAAAGTTGGGAGAATGGGCATGGATCCCACTCCTACCCCTGTGTGATCCCCAAGTTCCAGGGAGGAAGGGTCTGGGGGACTCACCAGGGTTGGTTCTCCAGCCACTCGGCCAGGAGACAGCGCAGGCTCCGGGGAAACTCCGTGGAGAGGCTGCTGAACTCCTCTGGTGGCATGTGGGACACGAGGTTCCACAGGGACATCGTGGAACAGTCACCTGCAGACAGGAGAGGGGATATTGACCACTTGAGCAGCCCCAGCCAGCCCTTGAGGGTCAAGAGCTGCTGCTTGTCCCTCCATGTCTGAACCTGCTGCTCCACTGGGCTGGGGCGGCTGGGGAGGAGGAGGAGAAGGAGGAGGAGTGGGAAGGTTGATCCAGGATCAGCTTCTTGGGCAATCCTGGGCGGGCTGGCAGCCCACTTGTGCCTCAGTTTCACGAATCTCTGGGGATTCCCTGCTCCTTTTGCCACAAGGATTTTCAAAGGGATGGGCAAGTGCTGCTGGACTGGGCATGGGAGAGCTGGAAGAGTGTGGAACTCCTGGACAGCTGGAGAAGTGTGAACTCCCCTAAACTTGGTGAGGCTGTTCCTCTGGGGTGACCCCAGTGAGGTGGCTGTGCCCCAGAATTTCCTCAGGTGTCCCTCACAAGGAGGGCCCCTCACACTCAGTGGACTGCAGAGATCAGGAAAAGCAAGAACGGAACTGGAAAGAGGCTTTACATAGGAAATTCTACCTGGAATGCCTGGGCTGGAGACCCTCACACTCAGTGGGCTCAAGATATCAGGAGAGGCAAGAACAGAACAGAACTGGAATGAGGCATTACATTGGGAATTCCACCTGGAATGCCTGAGCTGGAGGCCCTCACACTCGGTAGGCTCCAGAGATCAGGAAAAGCAAGAACAGAACTGGAATGAGGGAATTCCACCTGGAAATTCCACCTGGAATGGCTGAGTTGGAGGCCCTCACATTCGGTAGGCTCCAGAGATCAGGAAAAGCAAGAACAGAACTGGAATGAGGCATTAGATTGGGAATTCCACCTGGAATGAGGGGCTAGATGGGGAATTCCACCTGGAATGCCCGGGCTGGAGGCTCACGGCCCCACCGCACCCCAAGGTGGGCGTCGGAACCCCAACACTCCCAGCCCGTCCCCTCAGCACTGCCTGCGCCNCCTGGCCTGAGAAGTGCCTGGTGCTGCTGTGGTGTGGAGGTGCTGGGAGGAGAAGGAGCTGCTGGAGGGGCAGTGCCTGGGGGTTCCTCCATGCAGTGTCCAGAGGGGTGTCCATCATTCCTGTGTAGAACATTGTAGCATCCCATTTTTATTTTTTAGAGCATCCCAGCAGGACAATTGTGCTTCCAGCAGCTCTGTGAGGCTCTGCCCTCGAATGAAAGGTGTCCAGTGAAAGGTCTGACCACTGACCTCTGGCTCCAAGTGCTCCCTGTCCCTGATGGTGGAGCATCCCTGGCAGCAGTGCCAGCTTTGGGGTGAAACCCAGGAATATCTGAAGTTCCTGAGGCTCAGTGGGTGCTGTGGAGGTGTCCATCATTCCTGTGCAGAGCATTGTAGCATCCCATTTTTATTTTTTTAGAGCATCCCAGCAGGACAGTTGTGCTTCCAGCAGCCCTGTGGGGCTCTGCCCTCGTGTGAAAGGTGTCCAATGAGAGGTCTGACCACTGACCTGTGGCTCCAAGTGCTCCCTGTCCCTGATGCTGGAGCATCCCTGGCAGCAGTGCCAGCTTTGGGGTGAAACCCAGGAATTTCTGAAGCTCCTGTGGCTCAGTGGGTGCTGTGGGGGTGTCCATCATTCCTGTGCAGAGCATTGTAGCATCCCATATTTATTTTTTAGAGCATCCCAGCAGGACAATTGTGCTTCCAGCAGCCCTGTGGGGCTCTGTCCTCGTGTGAAAGGTGTCCAATGAGAGGTCTGACCACTGACCTGTGGCTCCAAGTGCTCCCTGTCACTGATGGTGGAGCATCCCTGGCAGCAGTGCCAGCTTTGGGGTGAAACCCAGGCATTTCTGAAGCTCCTGAGGCTCAGTGGGCGCTGTGGGGGTGGGAGCAGCTGTGGCAGCCCCCTCTCCTCCGGTGTCTCAGCCCCACCACTCGCTCCTCGTGTTCTCTCCCTGCTGCTTCCATGTGCTCCGGGGGAGCCTGAGAACCGGCAAGGAGCGGGGGCTGCTCCAGCTGGTGATGAAAACTGGGTAAAAACTGGGTTTTAACCAGTGGTAAAAACTGGGGAGAAAAAACATCCAGGTCTTCCCTGTGCCTTCAAGACCCTTTTTTTCTGGAGGAGCTGGCTCCGGGTGTTCTGTGGTTTCTGTTTGCCCCCAGCCCATGCTTGACCACAGGTCAAGTTTTTCCTCCAGTGTTAAAAACTGGTTAAAAACTGTGTTAAAAACTGGCGAGGAAAACCATGCAGGTCCTCCCTGTGCCTTCAAGGCCCTGGTTTCTGGAGCATCCTCCTCAGATGTTGTTCTCTGGTTCTTCTTTGCCCCCAGCCCATGCTTGACCTATGGTCAAGCTTTTCCTGCAGTGCTAAAAACTGGTTAAAAACTGTGTTAAAAACAGTGTTAAAAAACTGGTTAAAAACAGTGTTATAAACCGGTTTGGGNCCCCTCTTGCATAACCGGGGCTGCTTCTCGCGGAGCCGCGACGCCCGGCTGCGGAGTTCGGCTGTGACCGGGCCTGGTGGCATTGGGAATGTGTTTATCCAGCCAACCGGGGCTGTCCGTTCCCCCCCATCCGTGTGTCCGTTTGTCCAGCCTCCCCCCCCGTATCCGTCCATCCAGCTCCTTGCCAAACCGCTCGTTCCCAAGCCGTGCACGTCGCGTTCCCGGCCCTTATTGATCTATTCAGTAAATACTTGAGCTCGTCAGCTCCATGGCCGGGCTGGGAATGTGCGAGGGGCCGCTCTTGGCAGCGCCCGTGCTCCGCGCTGGCAGCGGCTCCAGCCGGGAACCGGCGGCTGTGGCGAAGTTCTCGCAACGCTTGGACGCTCCGGGGCTGTTTTTCCCTTCAAAAGCGGCGAAATTGGGGCAGTTTTGGCTTTCCTGTGACGGATTCTCCTCTGTCCTCACGGGAATGGCCTGGTGAAATGAGAGGCCGGGATGATGGATGAACGAGAGGGGGTTGATTTTTGGTTTAGGGGCAGGTTTTTCTGTCCCGTTCCTTTGCCCACCTCGGAGCAAAGCTGGAGAAGGGATTTGGTGTCGTGGCAGTGGCAGCATCTGACCCGTTGTGTCCGAGGGATGGAGAAGGAAGAGGAGGAGGAGGAGGAGGTTTGGGCAAACGCCAGATCCCTGCCCCAGATTCATGTCTGGGGCTGCAGGAGGCCGGAGCCTGTGGTTTCCATCCTCCAGCCCTTCCTCACCCTACTGGGGGGTGTGTGGACACTCGATCTGTGTCCCTTGCAGGGAGGTGACAACAGCAGAGCAGCTCAGGGCACCCTTCACCCCCCCCTCGGTGGCACCTGCGGGGCTGATTGAGCCCGATGAGCCGGGCAGTGCAGGTGGCCGAGAGCTGAGCCCTCTGGGGTCACCTCTCCGGGGACGCGAGGTGTCGGTGGCACTCGGAGGTGGCTCGGAGCAGCCGGCGGATCCAGAAGTTGGTGGGGGCGGAAGGGAGGCAGCGCTCATTGCATAAGCTGCGTTGCCTTTGGAAACCAGGCTGCGGGAAGATGATGAGCTGGAAGGGAAGTTCTTCCATCCTCTTCTCCAAAACCAGGAGCTGGAGTGGGGCAGAGGACGCTCCTTCCTCCCTGCTGCATGTCCCCCTCCTCCTCAGGGGCTCCTTTTTGGGGATCTGATGGGGTCAAGGTGCTGTCCCACCACCTTGGGGTGCTGGGAGCTCTGTGGGGCTGTGGGTGGGGAGGAGGTGGAGGCATGTGGCCGATGTGGAGGCACCACAAGCACGTGGTTGGGTCGGTTAGGAGCCAGAATGTGCCACCAAGGTGCCACCTGAGCTGGTGCCTCGACCCTGGTGGTCCTGGCTGGGCTCTGGCTTCCCACAGTGGGGCTCTGGGAGAGGCCAGGAGGTCATTTGGAGCAGGGTGCAGGTCCCCATCCTTGTCTGCAGAATTAATTCCTCACACTCACAACCTCTGTTTGCAGCTCTGAAAGCTGATTTTTCCAGGAGGAGAGGAGGACAAAGTCCAGCCGTGGGGCGGGAGGAAACTTTTCCATGGGGAACAAAGGCCACTGGTGTGCAACTGCCACTCTTGCCAGTCCTCTGCCATTTACTGGGGTGGTGTGGGGCACCCCAGAGCCCCAGGAGTGGAGTGAGGGCAGGCAGGGATCACCCTGTTCCTGTTTTGGAAATACCTGTGGTTGAGGGTTGCTGAGATGTTTTGGTGCAGCACTTCCCTCTTGCCACCTCGGTGGTCTGGCACGTCCCACTTTGTGTCCCTGTGTGCCCATGTGTGTTCCCAGGTGTCCCCACCTGTGTTCCCAGGTGTTTTCCCGTGTGTTTTTCCATGTGTGTGTGTGTGTGTGCACACGTGTGGGTGTGCACACGCTGCTTCCCTCAGCGTGCAGGGACACGCCCGGAGCTGCTCTGGGTTCAGTGGAGGTGAACAGTGGAGGTTTGAGGTGCTGGCAGGAGAAGGAGCTGCTGGAGGGGGGTTCCTCCATGCACTGTCCAGAGGGGTGTCCATCATTCCTGTGTAGAACATTGTACCATCCCATTTTTATTCTTTTAGACCATCCCAACAGGATTTTTGGGCTTCCAGCCGCCCTGTGGGACTCTGTCCTGGCATGAGAAGTTCCTGGTGCTGCTGTGGTGTCCAGTGAGAGTTCTCAAGTGCTCCCTGGCACTGATGGGGCAGCCCTGGAGCATCCCTGGCAGCTTTGGGGTTAAGCTGAGGCATTTCCAAAGCTCCTGAAGCTTGGAAAGCACCTTGGGTGCTGTGAGGGTGTCCATCATTCCTGTGTGGAGCATTGTAGCATCCCATATTTTTTTTATTTTTTTAGAGCATCCCAACAAGATTTTAGGGCTTCCAGCAGCCCTGTGGGGCTCTGTCCTGGCCTGAGAAGTGCCTGGTGCTGCTGTGGTGTGGAGGTGCTGGGAGGAGAAGGAGCTGCTGGAGGGGCAGTGCCTGGGGGTTCCTCCATGCNCCCTCACGGTGCCATCCCAGGAAGGCACCGGTCATGGTGGCTGCAGGTTGACGCCTTCCAGAAATGCTTTTGCTTTCGACTTCACGCTGCCCGGAGTAAACAGATTCCAAGGATTCACTGCAGGGCATGAGGTGACTCCCAGGGGTCAATGCCCGGTGGGAAACGCACACAGCAGTTCTGGGAATGCTGCTGGGCTTTTCCCCACAGTCCCAATGGGATTCTTGGCAGGAGGGGGAAAAGCAGCCTCTCCTTTTGCCACCCTCGAGGTTAATCCCCATGCTCCTTCCCCATTAAACCTGTATTTCTGCTCAGCCCTGGGAAGCAGCTGCTGGCTGGAAGCGCCAACCCGGAGCGTAAGCCTTAAGCCAGGCATGCCTGGATCTGCTGGGAGCCTGCAGGAGAAGCTGCTCTGCTCCCTCCTCCTCCCACAGCCCAGGAGGAGCTCGAGGCGGGGGATCTGCCTTGTCCCCTCCTGGCATCAATCACAGCAGCTCTTTCAGCCCAGGCGTGCTCTGAATCCTTCCAATCCCAATTTCCAGCTTTCCCTCTTCTGGTTTTCCCAATTCCCTCCTGGGGGCAACATCCCATGGGGACCCTCCTCCAAGAGAAAACCGAGGTCGCAGCTGTGTTATAGCCGGGAAAACCGGCTCGACGCGGGGCAGGACACAACACAACACCTGGGGAGGGGGAGAAGCCGCCCCCCACCCTCTCCCCCTCCCCAAACCCTCTCCACGCAGCCACTTTCGCTTCCTTCTCCACCCAAGGGCTTTGCCTACCCGTGAGGCTGGGCGAGAAGGTGGCTCAGGCTCGGAGGGGGGGCTCAGGGACCCCCCAGAGTCTCAGTACGAGCTTTGTGCTGTCACTGCAACAGGAAACCTTGTTCCCAAGCTGGAAGTGCCGTAACACTCCCCGGCCGCTTCCCGGTCCCGGGGTGCTGCCGTACATCCCACGGATGT